AAAGGCTGAGGAATCTTTACCAACAAACAAATCTCAAAGAGATATCAACTACACAACCATTAGAATCGCTAAGATGAAAAAGACCGACAACATGAAGTCTTATTAAGGATGCTGAAGAACTGAAATTCTAACATACTACTGATGGGAATGGAAAATGGGACAGCCACTTGGAAATGTGTTTGACAGCTTCTTAAAAAGCTACCCACACGTGTACAATCCTGCCATTTCATCTTTAGGTATTTACCCAAGAGGAATGAAAATACTTCTCTACACAAAGACTGAGTAACAATGTTCATAACGCCTTTATCACAATGGCCAAAAGCTTGGAAACAATACAAGTGTCCACACCAGGTGAATGCATGGATAAAATACTGTGAATATCCATACCCTGGAATACTACTCAGCAATAAAAAGGTGCTATTGATAATGCAACAGCAGAAATCTATCTCAAAATTATTACGCTGAAAAAAGCCAGACTTAGAAGATTAAATAAGGTATTATTTCATTCATACAACATTCTAGAATATGCAAACCAATCTATGATGTGAGAAAATACATCTGAGGCTAGCAGCAGCAAAGGACTATAAAAGTGCCTGAGGAAACTTTAGGGAATTTGGAAACATTTCTTATTAGTAGTAGATTTGTTGGTACATACATCTGAAAAAACCTATCAAGCTGTATATACTTTAAATCAGAGCTGCTTATTATACATAAATTATACCCCACATGTTGTTTTAAAACTTACACACTAAAAAATCTCATTTGTGAACAATGAAGAAAAACTGAGTCAAAACAAATAATGTAGAAGAGCTTATATTTAAAAATAGGTCCATGTGGGGCACCTGGATGGCTCAGTGGTTGAGCATCTGCCTTCAGCTCAGGTCACGATCCCAGGCTCCTGTGATCGAGTTCTCCCCACCAGGCTCCCTGCATAGAGCCTGCTTCTCCCTCTGCCTATGTCTCTGCCTCTCTTTCTGTGTCTCCCATGAATAAATAAAATCTTTAAAAAATTTTTTTTTCAATTAAAAAACAACAAAAAAATAGGTCCATGTAATTAAAAAGTTCTATTAGAGAGATGCCTGGGTGGCTCAGCGGTTGAGCATCTGCCTTTGGCTCAGGGAGTGATCCTGAAATCCCAGGATCAAGTCCCACATCGGGCTCTCTGCATGGAGTCTGCTTCTCTTCCCTCTTCCCATGTCTCTGCCTCTCTCTGTGTGTCTCTCATGAATAAACAAAAAAAATTTTAAAGTTCTATTAGAGATGGCAGTTTTATACATCGAAATATTTATTTAAATGCATCTAAATTTAAAGAGTCCTACTCAGATGTTTAACATTATAATGTGGCTGTATTATATAGTTTCATACACTTTAAATTTCTGTACTGTCCTGACAAACCGGAAATAGACACAGGTATATTCTAAGTTGAGAAATGCCTAACTTTGTTTTTATTTTGAAAAAAATAAATGCTTCTCACATGACAATGTATTTATCTTTTAATTTTATTACTTTTTTTTTTTAAGATTTTATTCATTTATCCATGAGAGACAGAGAGAGAAGCAGAGACATAAGCTGAAGGAGAAGCAGACTCCATGCAGGGAGCCCGACGTGGGACTCAATCTTGGGACTCTGGGATCACGCCCTGAGCCAAAGGCAAATGCTCAATCACTGAGCCACCCACGTGTCCCGACTTTCTGACTTCCTGAATAACCCCTTTGGTTATTTATTTTTTTAAAGATTTTATTTATTTATTCATGAGAAGCGGGGGGGGGGGGGTTGCAGAGACACAGGCAGAGAGAGAAGCAGGCTCCATGCGATACAGGACTCAATCCCGGATCCCAGGATCACGCCCTGAACCAAAGGCAGTCATTCAACCGCTGAGCCACCCAGGCATCCCTAAATTTATTACTTAATGCAGCCTGAAACCACCATTACTCCAAGGAAGTTGAAATAAACATTAATTTCTCATAATATTTTCAAATCACCTCACTTTTCATTAAAGGAAGTACCTACAATTAAAACTCCCTGGGTGGCGCAGCGGTTTAGCGCCTGACTTTAGCCCAGGGCGCGATCCTGGAGACCCGGGATCGAATCCCACGTCCGGCTCCCAGTGCATGGAGCCTGCTTCTCCCTCTGCCTATGTCTCTGCCTCTCTCTTTCTGTGTGACTATCATAAATAAATAAAATAAAAAAAAATTAAAAAAAAAACCTCAGCCAGTAAAACAATGAAGTAGACTACTGTAACACTCACTAGACCTTTCCATTCATCACAAAATGTACACACAACTCAGTCCTTTGGTGGCTAAATGCACTTAGATTGCATAACCCAAGACATTTGAGCCATCTTGGACACGCCTAGACAGGAAAATTTCAAATGATGGGAAGGCAACAGAAATAAAAACCCATAAAACCAAAAGCCCTCTGGCAATGCTTAAGAAAATTTCAGAAGGAACTTGCTACAAAAGACCATGGGCAAAAATAGCCCAAATCATTTCTATATAAAAGTATGTTCTACAGAATCCTTAGAGGGGTTAAAATAAGAAAGAGAACAAATTAGATCAATTCAGTAAAGTGACAAAAATAGACATTTAATTAATATGGCAACATCTTCGCTATTCAAAAATTCAACTGATCAGCGTGGACATGAAACGGGAATTTTTTTCATAAAGTTTTTATGCAAAAAATCCACAGAGAGAATGTGAACTGGTGCAGCCACTCTGGAAAACTATGTGGAGGTTCCTCAAAGAATTAAAAATAGACCTGCCCTACGACCCAGCAATTGCACTGTTAGGGATTTACCCCAAAGATTCAGATGCAATGAAACCCGGGACACCTGCACCCCGATGTTTCTAGCAGCCATGTCCACAATAGCCAAACTGTGGAAGGAGGCTCGGTGCCCATCGAAAGATGAATGGATAAAGAAGATGTTTATGTATACAATGGAATATTACTCAGCCATTAGAAACGACAAATACCCACCATTTGCTTCAACGTGGATGGAACTGGAGGGTATTATGCTGAGTGAAGTAAGTCAATTGGAGAAGGACAAACAGTGTATGTTCTCATTCATTTGGGGAATATGAATAATAGTGAAAGGGAATATAAGGGAAGGGAGAAGAAATGTGTGGGGAAATATCAGAAAGGGAGACAGAGCATAAAGACTTCTAACTCTGGGAAATGAACTAGGGGTGGTGGAGGGGGAGGAGGGCGGGGGGTGGGGGTGAATGGGTGACGGGCACTGAGGGGGACACTTGACGGGATGAGCACTGGGTGTTATTCTGTATGTTGGTAAACTGAACACCAATAAAAATTAATTTATTAAAAAAAAATCCACAGAGAACAAGCTCATATCCAAGTTACTCTGAATAAACATGGACTTTTTAGGGTATTTTGAATTTAGCGACATTCACACCACTCCTACCATTCCCACTGTATACAGATTCACAGATCTGCGTCTCTAATTCCTCATCAATAAAATACTCTCACAGGTCCCTTCTAGCTCTATCATGTATACTCAGAATCAAGACTTTATAAAAACAAAAACTCTAAGTATGGAAGAAGTGAGAAAGTAATAGAAATAAATGTATGGGAATATAAAAAAAAATCATTCAGTTCTTTAGCACACGGCCCAATCCCAGCAAGATCTCTCCACCTCTAATGTGTGAGAAGACTACTATCATGTCATGTAATCCTCAAGAAACACAACTAGACCAGGAATACACATCAGCCATATCCACGTGCTTCCCTGAAAGCAAGCTGGAAAGTAGAAGAGTCCTTAAGTTGGGAATCTGGGTTATTTTCTGTCCTCCATTATGAACTTTTTGGATTGCTAGCATTCACAACAATCATGTGGCCTTTTCAAGCCTTAGATTCTTATTTAGAGACTGAATTAGTCTGTGTGGTTACCAATGTGAAGTCATCAAATTTGATGAAGTAATAATGGACTTTAATGCATTTCTGATATACTAATAAAGTTATATATATTTACATAGGATTACTGAGCATGAGGCTGAGCAACTCCTGATGACTAACTAAATGTTATTTAAGCACCCTTTTTGTTTTTCATTTTTCTTGAGAGGTCATTGTAGTTGGAGGAGACTTCACACACAGAGAAGAATTATTTCAAGAGACTTTAAAATACATTAATTTTCCTACAGAGCCTTATATGATGTATTCCAATGTAAAAAAAAAAAGTCCAAAAAAAGTAAACTGGCTTCAGTGATCATACTATTTATAGCAATAGCAATTCGAGTTCTGTTCTTCTGAGCTGTGTGTGTGTGCGTTACAGGATGAGAGCAGATGAGTAAGTCTGCCAGATGTCATACAACCAACTCAGTACAACTCAGTACACATTAGGCTCACTTGTTACATTTTACTCTAGATTTTTTTAGGATTATTATTTTAAAATTCAATTTTGTTATATAATCATGTGAAATATTTATATGACTCCAAAGCCACATCTATAAAAAACAAATTTGTACCAGGAAGTCTGGCTTCTTCTCTATTCCCTCCACATACTTTCGAATTCACAGTCTCAGAAAAGAAGGCAAAAGGTATGGCCTCTAGATTCACATCTTGAGTGTATGACCTTGGCCTGTGACTTAATCGCTCCAAACTAATTTCATCACATCTACAATGGTGATAATAATAAAATCTACTTCAGAGGCATGTTGTGAGGATTAAATAAGATCATCTGATAACAGTGGTCAGCTTTGCGGGATCTTGGTGCAGATCAACCACAAGCTTCAGGCTCTCATTTGAGGCTCAACACAATCCTGGGGTACAGACACAGATAGGAAATGAACCTGGAGGCAATATATCACTGGATCGAGGTCATGGGGCCCATAGCCAAGACCACAGCCCATCTTTCAATCCCAGCACTACACCACAGTACTCATTAAGATTCCAGGCTCCTTTACATTCCACACTCATCAAATACTCCCTACAGCCAGCACAAGGAAAATGAATTCTGCTCCCACCCATGGCAACTTCAAAAGACTCACTGTATTCAGTGCATTGAGGGTAGTGTCATCCCGAGATGCTGCAACACAGCCATCTTCTGTGGAACCTCCATCACACATCCCTGCGAATGCTGCCATGCTCCTTGGAGGACAGGAAGGAAAAATATCAGCAAAGAAATTTTAACCCTCAGTTTTCAGAGTACATTTTCAGCCCAAATTCCATTACTACATGTGTGACAAGTTAGAGTGCTCAGTCCTATTTCTGCTTTTGTTTAAAAAAAAACTTTTTAGGGGAGACTGGGTGGCTTAGCAGGTTAAGCAGCCAACTCTTGGTTTTGGTTCAGGTCATGATCTCAGAGTCGTGAGAATGAACCCAGGTTCCACAGCAAGCATGGAGTCTGCTTGAGAGTCTCTCTCTCTCCCCCTCTGCCCCTCCCCTAACTCGTGTGCTCACACCCACCCCCTCTCAAATAAATAAAATTTAAAAAAAATTTTTTTTCAGGGGTGCCTAGGTAGCTCAGTCAGTTAAGTGTCTAACTCTTCATTTTAGCTCAGGTCATGATCTCAAGGCCTTGAGAGTTGGACATGGAGCCTGCTTAAAATTCTCTCTCCCTCTGCCCCTCTCTCCAGCACTCACTTGCTCTCTCAAATTAAAAAAAAAAAAAAAAAAAAAAAAGTTAAGATCCTCTACAGTTCACCCTTCACTCACTCACAAAGGAAAATGTTTCATTTACTCTGGTCCAGCTGTGTTATTTCGTCCCATGCTTTACCAGTACTCAGATTAGTTTTGAGGGCATGAATAAGCTAAAACTATTTGCCACAACAGCTGGCTAGAGTACAATCTTTTGAAAGAAAGATCATAATCTTTTTGAAAGAAAAATCTTTTGAAAAAAAATTAAATTATTTGAAACTTTGCTTAATTCTTTTCATACATCAACTAACCTTAGGTGAGTTAAAAGCGGTAAGGCAAAAGAGAAAAATTCTTAGTGGCCCCATACATACTACACTGAGGCAGCCTCATCTCAGGTATGTGCCTCCACACACAGCACAGCCTACCACAGGATTAAAATGCAGTTACCAGGCCTGCCCTAGTGCACACTGCTGATACTTCAGTTAGTCCCAGAGACCACTGCAGGCTAAGGCAGGCTCTCTGCCCACACTGTAATATGCAGGGGCAGATTTAAACTTATATTTTATGTTTTAGGCATTTGTAGGCTAGCAAGTCCTCATGTAGTAGGTAAGCCACAAAAACACCAAGGTCAGGCATCAATAACAGCCTAAAGTAGAGAAATCTGGAGTGCGATTTTAAAATGGGCTAAATGACCCAATTACTCTATCTGTATTTCGAAGTTTTGATAATTTCATGTATGGCTTAAGATGATTCCGTTCTGAAGAGTTCTAAAATCTGATGTGGGGCAAACACTGGAAAAAACAAAGTGACTTTACCATGGTAAACTTTTTCTCTGGCATTAAAAATCAGAGTTCTGATTACAGAGGGGTATAACAAAATGTAAAGTCAGAAAATGTTCAATGTATAAATAAAATTTCAGGGGAAAGGAGAAAGTTTATTGCCTCCTAATCAACTCAGATGGCCTAATTCAGAGGGTAGAATGGGGATAATTCCTATTACCTTGCTGCTCTTAAGTACATAAGGAGGTCACAGTCATTAACTCCAGGCATCCAGACCAGTTCCTCATGTTGGGTCACAGTGTCACCATCTGGAGAAGGGAACGGTTGCAATTCAGGAAGTTTGGCCTGTAAGACAGGAATGAAAAAGTCACAATCAAGGAGCATTTAAAGGCTGCCTCAACACGCAGGCCCTGGGAACAGATGCAGTAGTTACTGAGCCTCTTTCTTCAGGCAGTACTGAAATAACAGAAAAAGTGTGAGTCATTGAAACCAGCCTGTAGCATGTTTCAGGATCATTTCACCATAGAAGATTTCACAATGGACTGCTTAATCTCTACTTAAGGAGAGCAAACAGTATCAAAATAAACCAGTGCCAGCATGATCCAAAAAATGAAACAGAAATGGATGCACGTGAATAAAAGAAACTAGAAAAAAAAACACCAAAACCCCTTAGGACATAACCGAGTGCCTTTATAAGGGAAAATGTACATTTCCAATTTAACAAGTTTACAAAGAGACATATATAAATAATGAAATCTCACCTAAGAGTATCTGCTAAAAATCCAACTGAGCTATCCTATTAAGTTACTCTCAAGAGAGTCAATAACTACAATATTATCATGGTAAACATAAAAAAAGACACAGAATTGGAGTTAAATTAAAAACACAGTGGAGGAACGCTTGGGTGGCTCAGTCGGTTAAGCATCTGCCTTCAGCTCGGGTCATGATCTCAGGTACTGGGATGGAGCCCCAAATCAGGGTTCCTTGCTCAGTGGGGAGTCTGCTTCTTCCTCTCACCTTCCTCCTGCTTCTACTCTTTGTCAAAGAGATAAATATAATCTTTTAAAAATTATAAAATAAATAAAAACACAGTTGAACTAAATGATGACAGCAATCAGACCAGCAGTGGCTTCAGAAGCAGACTGCTTATAAAGGGACAGGAAGGAGCTTCTGGAGACAAGAGAAATGTTGCACCTTGATATGAACTATTACAGTAGATTCAACAGTCTACATAAGATATGAATAGTTGACTGTACATCAAGTATACCTCAATAAAAATTTTTTAAAAATATTTGAACAACAGTGCTTAACAACCAACAGTCTAAGTCACCTCTGGGTTAGGGCAGAGCAAGAGTCAGCAGGTACTAATGACCGGCACAACCATCAGAGACCTATAAAGTCAACCATCTACAAAATACACATTTCCTATTGTCTCAGATGACAAATACAGACACATCAGTCGAATATTTTAAATTAAGAGCTATAGTTAAAAAGCTCCAGTGTCCAGAGAAACTGCAAAAAGATTAAATGAAGCAAGGAAGAGGATAAGGCAGCACTATCCAACAGAAATAAAATGAGAGCTACATATTTGATTTTAAACATTCTATTATCCACATGAAACAAAACATTACCTCCTAGTTTGGACTGGCCACATTTCAAGTGCTCAGAGCCACCTGTGGCAGAGGCTCCTGTCCTGGGCACACAAATATGAGGTGCTAAGGAGTGAAGAGAACCAGGGTATAATGGAGAGAGGGCTGCCCTGCCCAGGGAAAGCAACCAAGCAGGAATGAGAACCGATATTTGTATATCCCCTGATTTATTTCCAAAGTCCAGAAATTTTGATATTTTATGAGAGCTAGCACTTAAATGTTTAAAACAATTTTGTGGCAAAACGCAACATTAACAGACCATGTGGCTTCAGGGCTACCAGTCTGCCTCACAGGAAGTCTCTGAGACCTCTAAATGTTTATCAAGCACTGACCTTCTCCAAACAAGGACGCTCCTCTTTAATTTACTACTGGCTTTTATAACATTTAATTGGGTGCCTCAATGAGTTCTGCTTAAGACATGGAGAGCACACTGGAATAAAATTTAAAACACAACAGATATTCACATCAAAAGGCATTTTTAAAATTTATTTTATTTTTTATTTATTTTTAAAAAAGATTTTATTTATATATTCATGAGAAACACAGAGAGAGAGGCAGAGACGCAGGCAGAGGGAGAAGCAGGCTCCATGCAGGGAGCCTTCGTGGGACTCGATCCCAGGTCTCCAGCATCACACACCAGGCTGCAGGCAGCACTAAACTGCTGTGCCAAAAGGGCTGCCCCAAAAGGCATTTTTTCTTACATCTTTACCAAGTTCTGCTTCCCCAGCACCAAGTATGGTACCTGACACAGTAGCTCTCCAATGACACCATTTCCCATCTATCAAAATGATATAAATCCCAAAGTGCGACCATATACAAAGGCTGTGGTATTAGTACTTGCATGAGCTGCTAGCACAAATGCAAAAATAGTACGATCTCTACAGAGGGGCATTTGGTTATGTCCTACCCTTTCCATGTGCACGTGCCCTTTATGGCAGCCTTTCCCTTTCTGGGAATATATTCCAAAGATATGTTGGCAGAAATATAAAAATCTGTATATGCAAGATTCACTGCAGCATTACTTATAATAGCACATGACTGGAAGCAACCTAAATGTCCAACAATAGGAACTGGAAGAATAAACTGTTCCATTCCTGCAATGGAGTTCTGAGAAGTGGCAGAAGGAAACAAGGAGGCACGCTACATAAATGCTATGGAGGGAACAGCAGGATACGTTGCTAAAAGATAAAAGAAAGCTGATAAAAGTGTATATATCATGCTACCACTTATCTAAGAACAGAGGGTTGGGAATAAAAAGAAATAAATCAAAACCTTAAGTTTAAAAAACAAAAACAACAATTATCTACCATTAAGAGAAGAAACATGTGGAGGGAACAGAGGTAGCAGACTTTCTGAGCACCCTTCTTCCTTTATATGTTTGACTTTGGAGTTATGTGACTAATTTTGAATAATTATATTGGAATCTTTGAAAATGGGATTTGAGACATGGGGAAAACATGCAGATATAAAGGAAATAAAGATAGGATTAAACATAAAACCCAGATACGAATTTGAATTGGAATTAGAAGTATTAGAAAGAATCTAAAATATATTTTATCTTCAAAAAAAGGGGGAGGCATATTTCTTGATCTGTTCTCTGAAAAGGCCTAGGAATAGTAACCAACCCAGTAACAATGAACACCCCAGCACCCAGTCAAAAAATGTCACTTCCCAATAAAACAATAAGGGCTCCTATGAGAAAAGTTTAATTCTAGATCGAGGGCAGGGAATATATAAGATGAGACATTAAAATCATGTGATACCAGTTAAGAGAACCCATCTAAAACCCCGGGGGTACAACCAGTCAAAAGGGCACAGAAGACAGAAGGAAAGAGGCATCCTACTAGCCCAAGATGGATAATTTAATCATCAGTAAGAATAAGGACAACTGGTTAGCAGATAACAAATAGTTTAAAGTCCACTGGTAACTGCTGGGAGATGTTGGGAAACCAAGCTAGTAATTTTGAAAACTGGTGAACAGAAGGAAGGAACTGGGCATTTATCATCTTGCCTTTCCTATGTGATTCTGGTAATCAAATAGCTGGTGTAAAGGGAAAGCTTCATTTACTCACCTAATAAATGAAGGAATGACAGAATTAGAGTATCACCGTTTTAAAGGGTGGATCCAGTAAGCCATGGCTGCAAATCAGCAGGATTTACAAGGACATATATACATACATCCATTTATACAAAGACATATATACACAGCATACCTAGGCCAGGGGCAGAGGACTAACCTAGGAGGATATTAAACTTCTAGATTTAACTACTAATTTTCAAGATACGCCAAGGACCAGGGAACAAGTCTAAAGATAAATAAAGATGCAATCAGCCAAATTCAGACAATGGGACACCTTACTGGACAAAACACTCACCTTCTTCAATACATACACTGAGAGAAGGGGAAAATTAAGAACAATATACAAATGAAGAGAGATTTAAGACACTTATCAACCAAATGCAATGTTATGGCTCTTATTTAGATTCCAATTTGAACTATTAAAAAAAAAAGAGAGATGTATGGGGAAATCTGGACTGAGGGGGTACTCAAGAAAATGCTAATTTTTATTAGGTGTTACACATTGTGATTTTGTTTTTTGAAAGAGCTCTTATCTTTGGGATATTTACAAGTAAAATGGTAGATTTGTGATTCATTTCAAAATAATGGTTGGAGAGGTGTGAAGGAAAATATAGAAGTTTGACTATACTTGGTATGTGTGAAAGTAGAGTAATACAGATAAGGGGATTTACTTTACTATTTCTTGACTTTTACATATGTTAATGTTGTACCTAATTTTAAAAAGTTAAAATTTGGGCAGCCTGGGTGGCTCAGTGGTTTAGTGCCACCTTCAGCCCAGGGTCTGATCCTGGGATCGAGTCCCAATTTGGCCTCCCTGCATGGAGCCTGCTTCTCCCTCTGCCTGTGTCTCTGCCTCTCTCTCTCTCTCTCTCTCTCTCTCTCTCTCTCTCTCTCTGTGTGTGTGTCTCTCATGAATAAATAAAATAAAATCTTAAAAAAATAGTTAAAATTTTAATAAGGAAAATATTGCCAATGCATTTAAAGTCCTGTTATGTTTAGTGCTCCAAAACATTTCTTTTTTAAAATAAAGCCTAATAAATATATTTAAAACCTGATATAAAATAAGTGAAAGTATACAATAATCTAAGCATAGTAAATCTGTTCCTTTCCAAGATTTTAAGCATCTTTTACCTAAGAACCCCTTTTTTTTATTATGGCAAGGCAAAAAAAAAAAAAAAAAAGTAAAGTAAAACTTTAGTACTAAGATCTCAGGATACTAGAGACACAAAACGGAAGAAAGAAATGGGTGGAAAACTACAGTGCAAGAGGGCAGAGCAGTGCCAGGTGAGTACTGGATTCCCTGGTTAAGCTGTAACTCCTAAGCCTGCAGGCACAGAAAATAGTCGGTGGTAGTCAGATCCACCTACCAGGCCACATGAAGGCAAGGGTATACTTGAGCAAGGCAGGCATTAAGGGGAGTGTCCTCTTGCAACTTCTTTTTGCCTGTCTCAGTTATAATCCTAGTTCTGTGATGAAATGTGCCTTCTAGAAAATAGATGCCCCTGATGGTTTCTGTGTTTTGATTTTAATATTCCTTCACTTCTTAATTTCCTTCTCATTACAGAGTTCAAATGGGTTGTTAAAAATATAAATGGCAAACAAGAAATGCTCAAAATCCAGACAGAAAAATGAACAACTAAAGACTACTAAAACTTCTATATCCTTACAAAGAGTTGCCTGTCTCTCGCATCCATACTATGGGATGGCCACATGGCTCACTCTCAGCCTCCATTCCAACTGAAATGACAGCCCATGCCAATCATGCTAAACTCACTTTTCTTACAGCTTAAAAATGGACAATGATCCAATCTGTGGCAATGAGATACAGGAGAATGCTCCTTGCTCTTAAGGGGAAAAGAAGGGTGATCCTTTCTTCTTCTCAACATCTGCTATATCTCATTCACTGGAAGATCCACTATTATTTTAGTGCATTTAGAAAGGAAAAATGCTGCCAATTAAATTATGCTCACACTCTAGAATGTACAATGAAGTCTGATATCAGAGCTAATAAAATGTGAAGGAAAGTAGCACATCTTAGAATCAGTAGAATTCAGCTACTGCCTAAGAAAGAAGGCAGCCCTGGGAGATAGCTGGGCAGCAAGAGAATTATATAGAAGCTGAACACAGCCCTGGCTGGTCCTGTCTGACCAGGACGTGAGACTACATGAGACCATCAACAACTATGGGCAGCCAGAGTTTTCTGGTCCTGCCTGTCAAAGTGTCCTGATATAGATATGGGGGTGGGGGTGGGGGGTAGCACGTCAAACATGACATCCTAGTAAACTGAATCGAATGAAAGGACACAGGTCATGACATAACAAGCTGCTGTCTGACAAAGAGCCAAAGGATCCTGAAGCTCTTCTGAAGTTTTTAAAAAGTTACAATGCAAATATATAGGAACAAACGTACACGAATGAATGAATGTATAAACAAAATGTGGTAGCCTTTAAAAGAAATTAAATTCAGGTATGTGGGGCACCTGGGTGGCTCAGTGGTTGAGCGTCTGCCTTTGGTTTAGGTTGTAATCCCAAGGTCCTGGGATTAAGTCCTACTGCAGGCTCCCCGTGGGGAGCCTGCTTCTCCCTCTGCCTATGTCTCTGCCTCTCTCTCTCTGTGTCTCTCATGAATAAATTTTTAAAATATTTTAAAAAAAAATTAAATTCTGGTATGTGATACAACATGGCTGCACCCTGAAGGTTTCATGTAAGTAAAACAGGTCAGACAGTAGTACAAATACTGTGCAAATCCACTGATAGGAAAAACCTAGATGAGTCAGATTCACGGAGACAACGTCTCAGTGGTGGCCATGGGCTTGAGGAGTTAGTGTTTACTGGGAACAGAGCTTCAGTCTGGGAAGGTAAAAAAGTTCTGGGGGTGGGTGGGGTGATGTTGTGGTTGCACAACAATACAAACGTACTTAGAGCCACTGTACACTTTTTAAATATTTAGAAAAAAATGTTAGAATGGTAAATTTTACATTATGTGTATCTTACCACAATTTTTAAAAAGTATGCAGTGATCAGGAAAAAAAATGTGCATTCATATTAAATTCCCTAAAGCATAACAACGATTCTCAGTTGCTGCTCCACAGACTAAAGGGCTAGCAGAATAATAAGAAATCAAACCCTATTAGAGAAGCGACTAAAATTTGCTTTACCTGATGGCTAGGACCAACACGAATTTCCCCCTGGGTGCTGTTCAGCCTCCTGTCATGAAAAGAGCAGATTAGGTTAGCACCATATAGTTCTGGCATAAACATTCACACATTTTTTTTTTCAAGGCATATAATTCACTTGAAATAAATGAGGGATAACACAGGAAGAATTTTTCCCACTATTTCTACTGTTGTCCCACACACGAACCCTACTCCAAACCCCATACACATCTCTAAAATCTCTTTCTTCTAAAATCTCCTGCCTGCAGCTTCCTGTCATGAGTACCCATACCACAGTTCCATACCATACCATACCACACCTCAGAGATATACATTCTTACAGCACAATCCCAGTAGAGGTTTCTTCTTTTCAAAACATTTCATGTGCCTGACTATAAACCTTATTAAAAGATACACAAGAGAACTATAGTTCCTAGTGCACACACACACTAGGTCATTCATTGATTCAATAAATATTTATTAAGTACCTACTATACGCTCACAACTGTCCAAGGTGTTGGGGATAAAGCAATCAGAAATACAATGTCCCTGCCTTACCAGAACTTAAATTCTTATCTGGGTATAAAACAAAGAAACAAGTAGTAGGTCAGATATAAAAGTGCCAAAGAATTAAGGAAATGGTGAACAATGAAATATTTTCATGGTTCTTTATACAGGATAGTCAGAAAAGGCCTTTTACGTTTTTTAGGGGAGGGGGAGGGGCAAAGGGAGAAGGAGAAGGATCACAAGCAGAGTCCACGCCAATTTCAGAACCCATTGACGGGCTCCATCTCACGACCCCAAGACCATGACCTGAGCTGAAATCAAGAGTCAGATGGTTAATCGACTGAGTTACCCAGGCATGCCCCAGAAAAGGCCTTCTTAACAAAGCAAAAAAGGCAGAGATGAAAAAGATGTGTGAGAATGAACCCAGCAGGTCTAGGAGGTGGAAGACTTTGTCTCATTTCTATGTCATTCCTACTGCACCTGCAAAGCTTACCCTCTCTTTGCTTCAAATCCTAGCTATCCAGGTTCCTTTTAGATGCCACTGTATCTGTAAAGCCTTTCCTGATCTCCTTCCCATTTTACCCCACAATTCCCCAAAGTATAGACTGCCTTCCTTTTTCACTCCTTCACAAAACGCTCATTGACAGTCTGTTCTGTCCCAGGTCCTGGTACAGGGTACTCATTGGGTATACGCTGATGCATAAAGAAAGTCACTGCCCTGAGTGACTTTCCCAACTCCCAATTACCCTCAGTTCTATTCCCAACCCCCAATTACACTCAGCTCTGAGTCATGACTAACTGTGGGCGATCTCAGGACACCATTTCCATGCCCAGAGACATGTCTGTGGTGTTGTACAACCACCTTTGCCATTTCCAGGAGTGCCAGGGATGAGAGCTGCAGGTGGTGACAGGTGCTGCGGAGCAGAACACAGTAGCAAAGGCCCAAAGAGGCTGCACGGTCTTGTGTTTGTCCTCCCACAGAGTTGATAATCCCACCATGATGTGTAAAGTTGTTAAAATTAATTCTGGAAAATGATTATTTCCTTCAGGTCTAATGCTTTCTTTTTTCGACCCAACAATTTCGCTCACAAAGAGTCTTATTTGGGGAAAGTGGGAAGTAGACACAACAAAGGAAGTGAAAAGATTAACAGAAAGTAAGGGTGTGTGGCCCACTTCCTAAGGAGCTTCTATTCCAATGACCCAGGGAAGTAGCATCTATCCCCAAAACACCAGGACAGGTCCAATCACTACAGTGGTAAGCATAAAACACCTCAGGATAAACAGAATACAAAAATGCCAAGGGAAGTGATCAAAGTTAAGCAGACTTCACAGGGAGACAACAGTGCCTGCAGTGGTTAATATTCAAAGAAACCTCTGAAGGGGACCACATCAGCAAGGCAGAACAGAGGTCTTCCCAAGGGGGAATAAAAACCTGCGGAGGCGGGACACGGTGGGAGAAAAGCTTGCATAAATATTGTCTTTAACATACAAGGCACCTTTGTTTCCTCAGTAGGGGAATGGCATGTTGAAAAACAAGCCAGAAGATAGACTGTTCTAGTAGTTTCATGTAGGAATGTCACACTGTTTTAGGAGGTCTGAGAAGAATCAAACAGGCCAGGAGGTGATTTTAATCATGAGTGCTTTAAGACAAGCATGCAGTCAGTGTTACCATTTCTCTTTGAACTCGCCCCTTTCTGTTTCATAAGTAGCTTAAGAGCAAAACTAGCTGCCAAAAGCTCTCCCCTATATTTCTAAATACTTTCCAAATGCTCACCTGCCTACAAGCAGGTCTAGCCAAAATGTGTCATCTGAGAAAGTTTTGGCCACAGCCCATCCAGTAACTTGTACCCAGTTCAACTTCCAGGTTCTTCTAGAAGGTCTATGCCAAGGTTCACAAGTGAATGCCTATGAAAGCATTTCCCCCATCACTGCTACACACACACTAAGTCCTTGATAATTCTAGGATAAACATTCCTGGTTTGTTTTTATTTTAATCTTTTCCCTTTTTTATTTCTTCTGTGGCTTATTTTTTGTTTTTTCTTTTAGTACTTTCATAAGCCAATATTATTATATTTAGCTAAAAATGTGCCACAGTAATAAAACAAACACCAAATATCTTATTGGATATGACTATATCCTACAGGTCTGTATAAAAGAGGTTAATAACTAATAATAATTATACAAGTGAGACAAATAAGTGTATTGAGGATCTTAAGGGCCTAAATTGGAAATTGTTTGAGAGAGAATCTCAAATGGACTTGCTGAACACAGGGCCTGACTCGGCTTAATCCCATGACCCTGAGATCATGACCTGAGTCAAAAATCAAGAGTCGGACACTTAACTGAGTTACCCAGGTGCCCTGCAATATGTTACTTTAGTTAGAATACAGGTGCCCTGCAATATGTTACTTTAGTTAGAATACAGGAAGAAAACCCAGCCTCACAAAGATAATAATAGGGAAAGGGAAGAATATTTTAATAATCTTTTTGGCAGTTATGAATATTATTTTTGATACTACCCCAAAACTCAACAAAATGATCATTTCTTAAAGGTTTTTACACAATGTGAATCTAAAACCTTATCTATGATCTTTCTGAACTCTTTTACATTAAAAATCTGTTAGTCTTTCTTGGCCTTTCAATGGGTCCTTCTACCCAGACATGATATTTTTAATGTCATGCATGAATTAGGTGGAAAATATTAGATGACAGGTTTATCCTTCAATTAGTAACAAAGATGGTTAGCATGTGAGTACTTCCTACAGTTCTGGGTGCTCTACAGTCTCATTTCTATGTATGAACTCATTTAATTAATATTTTGATATTAATGAAAACATTAATAATGACAGTCACCAAAATATAGATCTTATTCCAATCTTATGTGTGAAACAACACAGTTACTAAAGAGGTTTTTACTTGATATAAGTGTTGCTTAATTAACATAGTACGTCTGGTCAAAAACAGGATGGCCATCAATTAAGGAAAGAAAATCCAGGCCATCGATGGTGTAAATCCCAGTGAGGTCAGATAAAGGATACTATATACAAAATAAGAAACCAAAGATGGAAGTCATGTCCCAGGATAATGCAGGACAAATCTATGTACACCCTTATACTTGCCTCAGGGTTTTCACCCATGTTATCTTAAATTCAGGATATCTGAGTGACATGACAAACACCAGCAAAATAATAATATTAGTTATCACTTATTAAGTGCTTTTTGCTCCAGGTATGCATTATTTCATTGTTCCTGTGACAACCCTATGAAGCAATATCTGCATTTTATAGATAATAGTGACAGCACTAATTGTAATATTAATGAAGAAATATATATGGTGAAAATTTACTATGTACCAGGCATTTTAAGCTAAGCATATTCTATATATTTTCTTATCTAATCTTAGGATGACCCTATACGGAAGGTGCTACTATTACCTATCCATATAAGGAAACTGAAGATAAGAAAGAGTTATGAAACTGCCCAAGCCATTAGAAACAACAAATACCCACCATTTGCTTCAACGTGGATGGAACTGGAGGGTATTATGCTGAGTGAAGTAAGTCAATCGGAGAAGGACAAACAGTGTATGTTCTCACTCATTTGGGGAATATGAATAATAGTGAAGGGGAATATAAGGGAAGGGAGAAGAAATGTGTGGGAGATATCAGAAAGGGACACAGAACATAAAGACTTCTAACTCTGGGAAATGAACTAGGGGTGGTGGAAGGGGTTGAGGGCGGGGGGTGGGGGTGAATGGGTGACGGGCACGGAGGGGGACACTTGACGGGATGAGCACTGGGTGTTATTCTGTATGTTGGTAAATTGAACACCAATAAAAATTAATTTATAAAAAAAAAATAAAAAAAAAATAAAATAAAATAAAACAGTGAAAAAAAAAAAAAAAGAAACTGCCCAAGATTACAAAGCTAAAAAGTAGAAAGGGAAAACCAAGATTCAAACAAGTTTAGTTGACTCAAAAGTCAGAGCTCCTACATGGCATAAAGATTAAATTACTGAACCAAAAATACACAATTACAGATAGAACCAGTATGAGAAACAATGTCTTTATCTTCATTTCAAACACCAAAGCAAGACAGAATCATCAGGAAGAGTTTTAGTTTGAAAATCATGTTAAAAGAGAAAACCGAAAAAAAAAAAAAAGAGAGAGAAAACCGATAGGGACGACTGTGTGGCTCAGTCAGTTAAGTATCCAACTCTTGATTTCATTTGGCTGAGGTCATGATCTCAGGGTTGTGAGATTAAGCCCCCAAGTCCGGCTCAGTGCTGAGTGTTGAGCCTGGAGCCTGCTTAAGATTCTCTCTCTACTTCTCCCTCTTCCCCCCCCACCCCCTGCACCTCACAAGTGTGTGTTCTCTCTGTCTTAAAAAAAAAAAAAAATGAGAAAACCATCAAAGTTAAAGGCCAATTTATATAACATTGTCAAAATAATAAAATTATAGACACAGAGAACAGATTACTGGTTGCCAGGTGTTAGGAATGGGGGTAAGGTGAGGAGGAGAGGTGAAGAAGTAAGAGGTTTGTATG